ATGCCCTGATGCGGGGGCTGGGGGGTGCATCGACATGGTCGGGACATAGAAGTTGGTTTGGGAACCGCTGTACTAAACCATCCTCTCACGCTGCCACGTGGTTCTCTACCGCCTCTATAATTACTCCAAACATGAAAAAAAAAAACTTGTCCATCTATTTTCTGACACTGTTTTGTTTAATAGAGATATGCCTAAAACAAGCTGTTTCAACAAGTCCCCTTTTGTGACATCACAAATGGGGACATTTGCATTAAAAACTACCTCTCTCCACTCCTGGCTGGAAGAGCAGCTGATCTACTCCAAGCCCCTTCAAGATATCAGAGCTTCTCAGCTTATAGCAGCCCAAGCGGGGAATGAGTGGGTGTGGCCAGCAACAGCTAGTTTTCTTAAAGTGACAGAGCCCTGAAATGGCTCGTTCAAGAAGGTACTGAAAATGTCAACAATAAAACTGCTGAAATTGCTCTATGTGAGGGTTTTTTTTTTTTTTTGCAAAGAGCTTTACAGGCATGTTTTTTTATACATCATAGAACAATCAAAACTGTTTTAGAAAAGTCACAAAAGGTCTCTTTTAATTCGCAGGGCACTTATTTTGCACACTTATTTCGGAAAACATGGTTATGTGATTATATGCATAAATTCCAAACCAGCAGAGGATCGTTTGCTCTAAATTAAATCATATAAAAATTCAAATGTAGTGGTATCAGCCCTTATTATAACAGTGTGATGTATCATCAATGTTACCTAAAATGTGTAGCTGTAGCTGCAGCCATCACATGTTGTGCATAGTCTGCAGAAGTGCAAAGACCCTTTAAAAAGTTTCTTTCAGAATCAGAATTCAGTTGTGATCGTTTAAATTTAATTATTTTGTACAAGGTTGTTTTTTGTATTTATCTTTCAAATTTGAACTGAAAATTGAATGGGATTATGAGGTGTAGCAGAAGTGATGTATAGAAGCATTTCTACTTTTATGGAAATGATTGTCTTTAGGACCGTTATCCTAGTGTCGTGTTGCAGTTCTGTTGATGACAGCTGAAGCTTATAGCTGGTCCAGAAGTGACCTGAGAGGGGGCACCTACAGTAGCCAGATGTTTGACGGGAGGGCAGGGATGGGGATTGCATTGTAATAGGGACCTGATTATTTCAGAGTAGACTAAATGAGAAGATGCAGACAGACACAATGAGCCTCAACTTCATATCAGCTGATCCTGGATCGGTTTCATGCAGTGATCCTGTCTGGTATGTCTGTAATTCATCCTGCTGATGGTGATCTGAGAGATGAGACTTATTACTCTGCTGGCAGACAACGAGGCTCACCGGCGACCGGCTGAGCCTCCACCAGCTCCCTTTCAAGATCAGTTTGCCGATGTCCTGAAAACTAATAACAGTCTGAATTCCTCAGTCTATTGAAGAGGGCCAAAGCATCATATAGGACATATCCCTATGATTTTGTTGGGATTCCCAATCATCAAGAAAAGAGATAACACTCAAACAAGCCTAGTGTTTTCATTTATAATACATCGTTATAACCACTTTATTGTTTGTTTATCACCCAATCACATGACAGCAAGTAAACACATTTAGACTAAGTATCAAAATGAAAAAAGTGCCTTTGAAGATGACATGGGGTGTTGGTACCAGACATGATGATCGGAGTGTTTTAGGAACAGCTGATATACGATATATGAGATTTTCTAGGGTCCAAAAAAGATCAAATATTATGAATGAAGCAGGTTTAGCACATAAGCAAACTGAGCAGAGTGGTTCAAGATGCTAGAAAGAAAACAGCAGCTCAAATGGTCACAAATGAGGTCTACAGAATATCATCTATGAGCCACAACATGCTGAAACTTGAAGCAGATGGACTACAGCAGTGGAGGACCATTCCAGTTCATATTAGTAAAGAAAAGAAAACTATGGCTGCAATTCACTCAAGGTCACCAGAACAGGACCATAAGCCACCTGAAAGATGTTCCCTGGTCTGATGAGTCTGGATTTCAACCGCAACATTCAGATGGTCATCCAGATCTCAGCCCAGTCCAGAAACTTTGAGGTGTGGTGGAACGGGATTATCATATTGATGTAACTGTGTGATGCTGTAGTAACAATGTGGACCAGAACCTCTGAGGAAGCTTTCAAAAACTTTATTGAATCTATGATACAAAAATTATGGCTGTTCTAAAGGTGGAATGAGGTTCAACTTTCTAGTAAGGCGGAGACAAGGTTTAAAACTTAATAAAGGCTAGTGAGATATCGCTGAGAATCTTGTGAACCACATCAATAATACATTGACCAATCACAACCAAGATGGTTTGTTACGTGTACATACAACTGCAATATCTTTGAGTTGTTAAATGTGAGGCAGAATTTTGAATAACTTAATGAGAGAAGTGTTTGTGTGTGATGCTGAAGATTGTGTTCTTCACGCCCACAGGTGAAGAATTTATTAGACTAGTTTGGCAATCAGTGGATTTTCAGTATGTTGGCCTAGAGATCTGTACCAGACTATGCTCTGCAGGTCGGTCTAACCATGCTCCTTTGTAGCCTTAGCAGGTTTACCAATGGACCAAACAGTTTTGTGTCTTGCCAATCATAGTGCTCTATGTTTGTTGGACAGGCTTAGCACCGGAGCTGTAACAGAGAAAAACTACAAAGATGGCATCAGCTCAGGAGCAGTGCTTTTTGAAACAGCTTTGGTATCAATTTTGGACTATTTAGACTTGGGACGTGGGCAAATAGAAGTACTTAAGTCATCCATCAATCCATTGTGCTGGTGCCTATCTCCAGCGGTCAATAGGCGTACTTAAGTCATTTATTTCGAAAAGGGATATATTTCCTTCTTCTTTGATGGTATATGGTTGACTGACTTCCATAGTGTTGAATTTGTAACGTTGTTTGCTGCTCTGATTGGTCCTTGCACTGTCCAATTGCATGCCGAGACAGTTTGAAAGATAACTATAGATTCCGCCCATGACTAGGTTATTACAATGGCCAGGCTGTGTATTTATATATATAGGATAGCTTTCCAGGCTGGTACAGTGTATTACCAACAATGAAAAATAACAGAAACCAAGCCATCCTGAATCTTGATAGAATGTACAAGAACCATTACTGGGACTTTGGAGAATCTCTTAGATGTAAATTCCTTAGTGGAGATCTAGCATGGACAGAAGAAGAACGAGTACAATTTGAATGTGGAAACTTTGGAAAGACTTTTCCAAATTCATTTCATTATTTTATTTATTTGACAGGCTGTTAGCTTACAATCTGTCCAGCTAGCTCACCTACACAGTGGTTATTTTAGATAAGACCCAGTTTGTGGTCCATCCGTCCTCCTGTGGGGTGTCCCCAGACAGACAGAGGATCGAGAGATGGATGGATGAAAGGATGGATGGACTGATTAATGGATGGAAGCTCTATAAACATGTAAATCTGACCTTACAGTGTTTCAAAGCTGCTGCGTTGGCTGAATGAAGCCGTGCTGCTTTAAAAAGCTTCCTCGGCTGTTCAGTCAACTCTCCGTTTACACAGAAGGACGTTTTCAGACAGAAGAGGCTTTGATACACAAATACCACAAAACTCCAGCAAAAAACCCTTTACCTACACACAGCCCCCTGTAAACCCCCTTCACTACCATTATCACTCTGTGTGTGTGTGTCCTGTGGGATGGAAGGTGGGATTCTCCAGAGACAGAACCCATTTTACCTGCTTTTAAATCACAGACCCATACATTCACGCACATATATAGCAGTTTTACTCACACATTTCAAGTTTGACCAATCACTTTTACATGCTGCAACACACAAACAACAAAGAATCTCCTTCATTACTTTTATTCACGTATTTGTTTTAAAGCTATACATAAAAATGGTATGTAAGCATGTAGACACAGAACGAATCCCCAGGTATTGACTGCAGGTTTCTGATAACAGAGATACCAGGGCTTAATAAAGGGCAGATTAAACATTTGAGTGACATTGGCCTCAGAAGTACTTGAATTGTGAACAGTATGTGAGATTTTAAGGAAACATAAATGTTTGTTTCTTTAAAAAATCATACAGAAAGGGACAATTTAAATGGTTGGGTGTATTCAAAGTCATGTAAGAAATGGTAACAGCTCAAATAGTCAACTATTCAAGTGTTTCTTTGCTAATTGATGCACCATTTTGCAATAGTTGGGTGTTTATTAATCCTTAAGACTTGGTTTTTCATGTCTTTTTCAAGTACTTACTTATTTGCAATTCTTATGGAAAATCAACCAGACCACCTCGTAGGTTTACAAGTCAAAAACTCATTTTACAACTAGAGGCTTTCCATACAACTGACCACTTACCACGGTTACTATTGTGGTGCGGGTTGGTCAATAGTGTTTCAGGTCTGTAGTGGATCTGGTTCCAGGTGGAGCATTGTTCTGCTCTGATTCTTCTCCAGGTTCTATCAGAGGATCGGAGTTGGTGAAACTGGAGCTGCTACGGTCCACACTGAGTGTGTTTGTTAAAGGGAGATTCCCTGGACTGTGTGGACGCCTGGAAATTCCAAAAAGACTGAAGATTTGTGTCTTGGTTTTACACGGACATCAAAACTTTTGTTATGTCATCATCATAGTTTTTTTTATAGTTACTAAAATTAGCTAGAAATCTAAAAATTCCCAAATTTTGAAACACTTTTTTACTGAATCATATGAATGCGTTCTTGTGATAATATCTGGTGAATAAGCAAATTCAGAGTCTTTCAGAAGTTTTTACGCAAAAATCTAAACTTCAGTACAAATCAAGATCTTTCATAATGTTTCAGTTTATCACCTTTTTAATTCCAATATCAAAACACTAACAAAGCTCAATGTGTGAGTCGTCTTCACCTCCTACTGTCTACTGTGTTCAACATCTACATAGAAATCGGAAACTCTCTCATACATACACACACACTCGAGAAAATACACACTAATATACACACACTTTGGTCCGTCCTCTGTCCGGGTGACATTTAGGCAGATATATAAACCACCGCCCGATGCTGAGAGACAGAAGAGTCCTGCAGTGCAATACTGAAGTACTGTAAACGTTTTCTGTCTGCTTACCTGAGTTTTCACCTGTCTGCTTACCTGTCGTACCCATCAGGGACCCATCTGACCTCAATACATCATGCTCACCAGGTATGACTGTCCTCTCCTTTATGTTTCAGTCTCTCAGACTTTAAAAAGAAGACAGGTGCGGTATGAAGTAAATTCTATGATGTGTTGAGTTACTGAATAATTTCCCCTTAGTTTAGCTTGTCCAGGTCCTCATACAGAGGGTTTATATAGCAGCACGCTTTGGAAAACATCGCATTATAATCCAGTATTCTGACTAGAAGTTGTGTATGTGTTGCAGGAATGTTATTCTATTGTTCTCTTTCTTTGTTCTGGTGGTGAAGGGAGACTTTGACTCTAATGGTGAGCTTCAATCCTTCCATTCCAATTATTCTCCTTTTGTGATTGAATTTCTGCCCATTTAATCTGTTTTTTTTATTTTATTTTATTCAAATGCAGGAGTACAAGCCATCTCAACAGGTAAATATTTTGTTTTTGCTCTTATCACAGTCACATAAAATCAAAAGGCTTGTCTCTGACCTTCCTCTGTCACACCTATTTATGTCAGATAAAGATTCAATTTCGGATGAAGCACCCACAGGTGAGTAAATCCAGTCAACTTTAAGACTCTTGTGGGTTTACTATTTTACTTTAAATCTGATTTTCCACACAACTGATTCATTTCAATGTTTATCTATTGGTTAAAAGTGATCAGATTACTTAGATAAACAGTTGACGATCATCAGCGTATTGGTGAATTTCCCATTGAAGTAATTGACAATGTTTGATGTTGTGTTATCTTCTCTTGGGATTTTAAAAATATATTTTCCTTCAAAATTATTTAATTTGCTGAATAAAAACTTGGACTTATGAGTCAAATATGTAGAAAGTGAGTTTTTACTAATCAGTGCCTCCTCCAGGCTTGAACGTATAGTTTAATTACTGATGGCTGACTGAATATGTCTAACTGTTATTCTTCTTTCAGAGAGCATGAAAATTATTTCTCCTGATCTTCCTGGTAAGACTTCAGGTCTCAGAAGTCCTTGATGAGTTTTATTAAACTTATTTTATAATAAATACAAGTAAAATGTTAACATTTTGATGAACTTCACAAAGAAAAATAGATTTACAACAAAAATTAGACAAAACTCATCATTTTTATGCTTATAATGGAAGCAACACATGTCTTACCTGTTTATGTTATGTTTATGTTTATGTATTTAGCAGACGCTTTTGTCCAAAGCGACTTACAAGTGATAATCGGCATGTTGCCCTTGAGGCTAACAACAACAATAACAACAACAACTTGACATCAGTCATGGAGAGGAGGGAACGAGGAGTGGACAGTAGAGAGGGGGCACGGGTGCAGGCAGGGTGCTAGTTAAGAAGATGCTCTCTGAAGAGCAGGGTCTTCAGGAGGGTCTTGAAAATTGAAAAGGAAGCCGCTGTTCTGGTAGTGCTTGGAAGGTCATTCCACATTTTATCTATTGCAGATGGCTCTATGAACAGCCTCAGTTTGGAGAAACAGGTATTAGCTCAGTTTAGACTGAAAAGCTAGCAGCTAATAACAATAAAGCCCAATTACGAAATTAATTTTTGGCATTTAGAAAATAATTCAAGTACCAAAAAGTGTCACGCCAGCAACCTTTTCATTGCAACACATAAAATTCTGGCAAAGTAGACGTTAGTAAACGATCTGTAAATAATCCCTCTCAGAATTTTGCATTTCTGCAAGAAAAAATAAGAAAATCGCAGTCATCATCATGCACAGGCTTCACTTTTTTGAAATTAGAGAATGATTTATTCAAGTTATAACTGATCCTGTTTGGATTTCCTGTTGCTCATCAGGCTGGTCAGAACCAGTCTCTGTTTATTCAAACTGAGGCTGCTCAAAGTCCAAACAACAACAAAGATGTTCCAAACTCTTCAGCAGAAACCCACCGCAAATGTTCAGATTTGTATATTTTAAAGAATGATGCTATGTTGATGACTCATCAAAGTGAGTGGAGTTATTTTAGTGGTTTGGGGAGGCTCCTCTACTTCTTTTGTTACATAAGCTAAAAGTGCTCAAATTTGTGTTCACTGTGAAATTTGTGCTCTTCTACATTCATGTGCACATCTTAAATTGCAAGTGATTAAAAGCTGATTAAATATTTCTGCAGCTCATATTATTTTCTTTTTTTAAATTAAAATATTTCCTTTGAATAGAAGAAAAACAGTGCCAAAATTGAGAAAATAATTAGAAAATTGTAAGAATAAATTAGTGAGCAGGAACAAGTCAATTCTTACTCAGCTTCTAGGATCTCAATCATTCTTCATTTGACTTTTTAAAACACAATTGGTCAGTTTTAGCAACTTATTCCCAAATGGTACCAATAAATAACGTTCAGTTTTGACAAATGCATTTACATTACAGATGAATCTCAATATTATGGAGGAGGACCTTCGGGACCTGCAGGTGATGTTTCCAACATCTGACTTAATTTATTTTTAACTAAATTCAAATTAAAATTCACTAATGCATCCACTGTGAGCTCTGATCAAATAAATTAAGTGTTTGCCTGTTTTTGTGTTTCAGACATAAACAGTTCCAGCTCAGAGGCAGCCGACAGTAAGAAAAATCTTTTGAAATAAGACATTTACACTCTTTCATCAATTTGTGCATTCAGAGATCTCCATGCCTGTTTGGCTATTTTTCTTGTGCCTAAAAAAATCATCAAAAGATGTTTTATGTAGTTTTTTTTTAATAATTTTGTTCACTTGAGGTGTGAAATGACTAATAATAAAAACAAATGAAATGATTTCTGTTTTTTAGTCAAGATCAATTAATTTATTCAGTTTTTCTTATCTGTCTTTCCAGCTCCAGCAGCTGTTCTGGTGTCAGCACCTGGTATGATATTTTGTTTTGAAAATTTAATCTGAACACTCAGGTCAGTTTGCATGATTAGTTAACTTTTTAGTTAAATTGCTGATTTCAGAACCCGCTGGAGCTGCAGCAAACAGTGCAGAAGAAGAGGAAGGTGAGAAAACCAATTTTTTCCTATTTCAGGGACAAGTTTCCAAATAAAACAAGATTAATATGTACACATCAACATTCACTTTTATAATGTTTGAACATATTTAAATTGTTTTCTTATTATTTACGTTTTATCAGAAGAAGACTCTGAAGAACGAGGGAAGAAAAAGTTCAGCTCCCGCTCATCGAAACGTCAAAGCCCCGCCCACATTCAACAAAACCCCTCCCGTGTCATTCAAGTCCCCGCCCTCTTGCCCCTGCCGCCTCTCCCGCCCCACCCAATCATCCCTCAGCCAAAAGTTATGATGAGAAGCCGGACGTCTAAAAGGCGATCCAGAACCAACCGCCGGCAGATCTAAAACACCAACACCTATGTACCGTTTTACTGTTGAACAATAAAGATGAAACGCGTGATACATGTTCACATCCAGCCTTCACACAACCCCACACCCACCGAGCCATCTGATTGGTCACAGAGGTCTCTCTCCTCAGTTTTACATGGATGCTTGTTTTCCCTGTAACAGAACTAAATCAGATTCCTCTGAAATAATCTTTAATCACAGCTGTGAAACATGAACTGTTTGTTTCTATTTGATTGTCACAAGGAATTTAACATCAGATCACTTAGAATAAATGTTTTGCAACACTTTAAATTCAGCCTTTTGATCACATTCAGAAAGTCATTTTGACTCCTGCTATATTTTGTTCTTTGGGCCCCTGTGGATTTTTGGCCTCAGACCTGGAGTATTAAAATATGCTCAAATTATCTTTTTATTTTTAATTTTTTCAGATGTTTGTGAAACATTTACACAACATTTCTATGTTTATTCTTTGTATCTTATTTTAATAAAGTTAAACTTAAATGAAGTTAAACCTTTACCTGACCTCAGTTCTTCCAGTCAGGAACAAATGGTTATCCAATAGAGATGTACTTCAAAATAAAGTCTAAAAAGATAAAATTACTTCATCCTTTGTAAATAAAAATAAAAATAAATAAGCTTCCTGAATAGCCTTAGCTTGTAGAAGTAGAGTGCATGTCCAAAAGCACTGATGAGCTAATAGCTAGTTTGAGCTCAACGTATGTCTAATAAATCGTAAGTAAGACTTTCTTTACTGATAAATTTAGCTATGTCTGTATGTTTACTGTATTATTTCATCATGTTGTAGGATCATATGTAGGGTGGTAAATGTTGTGCTTTTAAGCTTATTATATTACCTTTACTTATGACCAATAAGCTGTAATATTCTCTATAATATCAACCTGCTTGGTCTTTGAGAGTTTAATCAGAAGATTCTAGGATTCTTTGCTTTTTCAGGGATCAAACACACTTCGTATCAATTCATACAGAGTCAGGTTTATAAAAGATAAGAAATTTATTTTCTAAACAATTAAAAACATGACAAGTTAACCAAGGCTACTGTGATGGATGAATCTAAGAGTATGGGACGTGATGTGTGTTTAATCAGAACCTTGTAGAAGAACTGAGTTCTTCTGGGTGTCAAAAGAATTTGGTTTGCATTAAACTATGAAGTAGGTTCTTATCAAAAGGCATCAGACGCAATCTGTCATGTGTACGTACCCCAAGTGGAGACTCTCTTTTGGATCCGAGATGTCGGGGTGGGGGGGTGGGGGTCGGGTGACCCCAAGGTACCGAAGTCCGTAGGAAAACCGCAGTGCGACCAGGTCAGTCCAGAGTCGTCTCCAGGTCACGACAGGTTGTAACTAGTTTGCGTCTCGAATGGATTCTTAAGGAATCTTGCATCAGCTTTGTTTTGCAGGAACCATTTGCTGTGTCAGCTATGTGTAGCAGGTTTTTGACAGCTTGTTAAAAATGCTCTGGGTTAAAGAGGTATCGCTACGGACGGCCGTTCCGTAGCTTTCTCTAGAACTGAGTCACCGTCTCATGAGCTCTGTTTTAATATTTTCACATTATGATTTACTAACAAATTAGAATCGACCATGTAAGAAGAGTTTTACCAACGAACCTTAGAAAACACGCCTTGCATCAGTTCTAATTATGATCTGCCTCCCTGACGGTGTCTCTCTCCTGCCCTTGATTAGTCCTTATTGTTTTCAACTGCTTAACCTCGTCATCGTCACGTGTCTGAGTGTGTGAGCTGTCAGAAAATAGTGATTCACTTGTTAAACCAGCAGTACTGATCATATCAAAATGTTTCATTTCAAATAATAATAACATTCATTCCAAACTTCAGTAATTCAAGCACTTATTAATTAAAACATTGTTATTATCCATATAACATTTGTTAATTTCATTTCATGATTAATTGACTCATATGAGATGAAAACGTTCACTTTATTCAGAGAGTGGGCACTCCTGCGGTGTTATCAAAGAAGGCTTTGTTTGGGAACACAGGCTGACATTGTGTTCCTCCTGAAATGTCAACAAGGTTGCAGTATCCTTCTGGGCTTGTAGGAAGATAGTGTAAAAATCCACCTTGGATGATGGAATTAGGTCTGCAGATGACCTCTGTCAGTGCGCCCCAGGGCAGCTGTGGCTACATCATAGCTCATCAACATCAGTGTGTGAATGTGAGTGTGAATTCAATTCAATTCAAAAATACTTTATTAATCCCAGAGGGAAATTGATTGCTGTAGTAGCTCAGAATAATAATAATCAAGTCATCAAAGAGTTATTGTATATTACAACGGCTGTTGGCAGGAAGGATCTCCAGTAGCGGTCAGTGTTGCAGAGAAACTGAAGAAGCCTCTGACTGAAGACACTCTTCCGTTGTCGGACAGTCTTGTGAAGAGAATGCTCAGGGTTGTCCATAATTTTCTTGATTCTCTGGAGAATCCTTCTTTGCATTATCTCCTCCAGAGGTTCCACAGTCGTCCCCAGAACAGAACCAGCCTTTTTAGGCTGTTGAGCCTTTTCAGGTCCCTGCTTCTGATACTGCTACCCCAACAGATGATTGCTGAAGAGATTACACTCTCAACAGCAGACTTGTAGAAGATCTGCAGCATCTTGCTACAGACATTGAAGGACCTAAGCATCCTCAAGAAGTGCAGTCTGCTCTGTCCCTTCTTGTAAACGGCTTTGCTGTTCCTTCTCCAGTCCAGTCTGTTGTCCAGGTGAACTCTGAGGTATTTGTATTCCTCAACCACCTCCACTTCTTCTCCCATGATGGAAACAGTGTTTGACTCCATCCTGTTTCTTCTGAAGTCTAAAATCATCTCCTTTGTTTTGTTCACGTTCAAGGTCAGATGATTGTTTCCACACCATGCCACAAAGCGCTCCACCAGCTCTCTGTACTCAGCTTCCTGTCCATCTCTGATACACCCGACAACTGCAGAGTCATCTGAGTATTTCTGTAGATGACAGGTCTCTGATTTGTACTGGAAGTCTGAGGTGTACATGGTGAAAAGGAATGGTGAGGGTACAGTCCCCTGTGGTGCTCCAATGTTACTGATTGCCTGGTTTGATGTGCAGTTCTTCAGCCTCACAAACTGGTCTGTTTGTCAGGTAGTCTTTAATCCAGGCGATAGTTGAGGCCCCCACCTGTGTCTTCTGGAGTTTCTGGCAAAGTACATCAGGCTGGATTATGTTAAATGCACTGGAGAAATCAAAGAACATGACCCTCACAGTGCTGCCTGCTTTGTCCAGATGACAGTGGGTTGGTTGAAGCAGCTAGATGATGGCATCTTCAACTCCAACTCCATGGCGATAAGCAAACTGCAGCGGGTCCTGATATGTTCTAGTTTGCTTATTCAGGTGGACCAATTGGAGTCTCTCCAGGACCTTCATGATGTGGGATGTCAGGGCAACCGGTCTGTAGTCCTATTTCTATTTCACCTGTTCCTTTGTCTCTCCGACTGCTTTGATCATGTACATGACACAAGAATGTCCCTCGGGATAAATAAAGTTGTTCTTAGTCTTATTCTTATTCTTAGTCGTCATTGACTGATGGGCGAGTTTTCTTTGGAAATGGAACAAGGCAGGACTGGAACCACCTCCTGGGCCAGGCTGAGGTTGAAGAGGTGCTGTAGAATCCCACAGCTCTGCTCTGCACATGCTTTCAGTACTATGGGGCTGACACCATCTGGACCTGCAGCCTTGTTCCTGTTCAGTCTCTCCAGCTGCCTCTTCACCTGACTTCTAGAGACAGATAGGTGGGAGGGGGAGGTAAATGGGGCAGCAGCATCTCCTGACTTGGTTGAAGACAGATTTATAGAACCGGAAGAGTCCATGACTGCATTAGAGGACAAAAGAGCTGGCGTGTGACTGGAAAATGTTGGATCAGAGGAGGATGGGATGTCTTATTGGCTGGTGACAGGCGAGGAGGATGCTGGGTTTGTTCCTGAACTGCACCTACTGAACTTGTTCAGTTCATTGGCTGTGTCCAGGCTGCCATCTGTGCAATCCTTCCTCTGATTGAAGCCTGTGATCTTCTTAATCTCTGACCAGACATCTCTGATATTGTTCCTCTGTAGTTTGTTCTCCAGCTTCTTCCTGTATGCCTCCTTGCTGTCTCTGATCTTGATCTTCAGTTGCTTCTGTATACTCAATAATTCCCTCCTTAAAGGCTCTTTTTTTCTCATTTAGCAGATTCTTCAGTTCACTGGTGATCCAGGGTTTGTTATTAGCAAAGCATCTCACTGTTCTGGTGGGTATGATGTTGTCCACACAGAAGTTTATATAGTCAGTGGCACATCCAGTCATGGCATTGATGTCCTCTTCATATCCTTGGCAGAGAGTCATCCAAACTGTGGTCTCAAAACAACCCTGCAGAGCTTCTTCAGCATCCTGTGATCATTTTCTCACAGTTCTTGTCACCGGTTGCCTCTGAACAAGTGGTTTGTATTCTGAGCAGAGAAAAACAAGGTTGTGATCTGATTGTCCCAGAGGATGTCTTATTTTGGACATGTATGCATTCTTTACATTTGCATAACACAAATCCAATGTCTTGTTTTCACTGGTGGAGCAGCTGACAAACTGTTGAAATGTTGGAAGTGTAGTAGAGAGTAAGGCATGATTAAAATCACCAGATATAGCCACAAATGCATTGGGATGCTGGGTTTGTAGCTTAGTGACAACGGAACTGATGGCATCACATGCACTTTCAGCAATGGCTGAAGGTGGAATATAAATGGTTGCCAAGACAACACTGTTGGCAAATAATATGGGCGAAAACTTACTGCCAAGAGTTCAACATCTGGGCTGCAGAGACGACATTTCACTGAAACATGACCTGAATGGCACCATCTGTTGTTGACAAGCACTGCCACTCCACCACCTTTTCTTTTCCTGCTCCTCTTCAGATCTCTGTTTGCTCGTACAGTCAGGAATCTTGGCAGAGAGACGCTGGAATCGGGGATATGGTCCTGCAGCCGCGTCTCAGTGAAACACATAACACTGCACTGCCGATACTCTGGCTGAGTCCTTGAAAGGGCTTGGAGTTCATCCATCTTGTTGGCCAGTGATCTCACCTTGCCCATTATGATCGATGGAAGAGATGGTTTGAATTTCCTCTTTCTCTGTCTCCGTTTTGCTCCCGCTCTGCACCCACGCTTCTTGTGTTTTAGCTCATTTGGAATTTGTGGCTTCAGTTGAGGTATTATTTCAGCCTTTCCAATGTTAATCAGCTGCTCCTGATTGTAAACCAGCTTGTTGCCATGGTTATGCATCATAACAAATGCTCAAAAAGTAAAAAAAGTGAAAAAATAGCAGTAAAAATCCTCTAAGCTTCACAGCACCAGAAACAGAAAAGTAAAATGTCCAAAAAATTGTTAGAAACTAGAATAAAAAATGCAAAAAAAAAAAAGGCTAAACTTACATACAGTCAACAGAGCTACTCCAACATGCAGCCACCCAGTGCAGCGCAGTTCCGGAAATGGATGAATGATA